GGAATGCAGGAGCATTGGATGCCGGACCAATGGAGTTTTACTGTACCTTGTTTCTGTGCCGGGTGGGTCTGGGATATTGCTTTTGGTGAAGGAGTTGCCATTCCATCCTTACTTACAGTTATTTTCAGGCCCTTGTTATACTATAGGAACAATTGGCTTGATTTTCTTATTCCAGGTCAGCTTTACTGGTGTTCGCTACCTTGGAAATCCTAGTGTAGAGGGGCCACTGGGGGCTGCTGTTTGTAACAGTATTCACCTTGGTAGTAACTGGTGACCTGCCTACACTAGAAACCCCAGTGTTGCTAAGAGACTGAGCAATGTATGGAAAATGACCTTAGTGCAGACATGGCCTTACTTAGACAGTGTTTCTCAACCTTTTGTCATAAAGTACCCCTTTTTAAAAAAATTATAAGTACCGCCAGTACCTAGAGTTTTCAGACACAAAATGTTTCTCTACAAAAATGCAACACATTTGTTTGAACAACTTAATTGTAGCAGGGAAGGTGATGAAATTTTTGGTGTAAAAAGTACAAAAAAAATAAAGTGCTGTACAACTAAAAACAAAAATTCGATTTTCTCCAAATTTCAGTTCTGTTGATGTACCCCCAGACTTCTCTCGAGTACCCCTAAGGATACTCGTACCACTGGCTGAGGAACACTGGCCTTAGAGATGAGGGTAGGGCATGGCAGTCACAGGCAAAACAGGTTGGGGGTGGGAGAAGGAGGTGGAAGCAGAGGAGATAGCCTTCTTTCGGTGAATTCTCCAGTTTCACATAGTTCCATGTGAACGTCCCAGGAGCTCCACGAGATCCAAACATGTCCATTGCCATCAGAACCATGTTGTCTTTATTTGAAAAACTGAAACCCCAAACATTTTTCAGTTTTCAGCAAGAACAACAAAAAAGTGGTTGTTGGTTGCAAAAAATACAAAGAGTTTTAATAAATCAGTTTTGATCATTTGATCTTTTCAATGGAAACAAAAAAATATTAGAAGAAAAATAACAAGGAGTCCTGAGGCAACTTAACGACTAACAAATTTATCTGGCATAAACTTTCTTGGCTCAAGCCCATTTCATCAGACGAAGTGGGCTCCAGCCCAAGCAAGTTTATGCCAAATAAATGTGTTAGTCTTTAAGGTGCCTGAGGACTCCTCCTTATTTTTGCTGGAACAGACTATCACAGCTACCCCTCTGAAATTAGAGAAAAATGTTTTTTCCCCATATTTATTAAACATTTTTTTGCAAGTGATAAAATCATTTTTTCTGGCCATTTCTGTTAGCCATGTGGCCTCTCCCTGCTGGCTCAAATTCTTCATTCATCCATCTATATTGCATTTATTAAAGTGGTTTCAGCCTTTCCTCCTGTTAGAAAGATCTGCCTTTAACACATGTAAATACTAAGTTATGGGGTTTGGGATTCCTGTTTTCCCATCCCACCTTTATTCCACAGGAAGGCAGCCCAGCACATTAACTCAGTGTACGTCTACACCACAGCATTATTTCAGAATAACTGATGTTATTTCAAAATAACATACTGCGTGTCTACACTAGAAGCTTTTATTTTGAAATAATGTCAAGCTGGAAGATGTCTTACTCCGACTCATGGTAACACTCATTTCATGTGAGTAAGGGAAATCAAACGAACAGTGTTCTTCCTTTGACTTTCTGCTGTGTAGACAGCATAAAAAGCCGAATTAAGCTATTTTGACTTAAACCACGCAATTGATGTAGCTGAAGTTGCATAGGTAGCTTAACTCGAGTTTAGCCCTGATGTGAAGACAAACCTCCACCAAGCCTCTAAGCAATTATTTTAAGAAGCCAGGACACTTTATGGGTAAGGGGACTGAGGCCTGGAGAAGTTAAAAAAAAAAGTATGAGGTTTTGGGACAAGTAGCATGAAAGATGCAATATAAAATAAAATGTATTAAATATTATTAATTGTATGTGGCCTTAGCTTTCTGTGCTACCATCAATTCTTAAGTGAGTTGTGGCTCTATCTAATGTAGGGTTTGTTTGATAATACACATTTTTGTAGCTTCTAAGCAATATTACAGCAGTAAAGATGAAGAAACAAAAATGAATTTAGAAGTATTTTCATTCTGATGATGAAAGGCTTTACAATGTGTGTTTCAACGAGATACTGAAATTTCATTCAGCAGATTAATTTTAAATTTCACTCTGTTGCGCCTTGATAGTCCTGGGGCTAATGTGACAGGCACAGGCCTCCTATTTGGAATTGCCAACACCCCTGTTTGGCCTCGTTAATTATTATAGTCCGATTTAATGGTATGGGTTGTAGTGCAGACAGTCATGTGAAGAAATGTAATTGATTGAAGAGTGTTGCCTTTGGAGATCATAATGTTTAATGGTTACTAAAAGACACATTCATGAATAATAATAATTAATGATAACGAGTCTGGGGTTTCCTTGGCCCTCCTCAGAGGTGTCAGGATGCAACCCAGCCTGCCATCCCTAGTCTGTTTCTCTGAAAAGCGTCATCACGCCGCTGACTTGTTGCAGGGTAATAACTATCAACATTCCAAAGCTGGTGGAACAGCCTAAATCTCGTCCTTGCGGGGGGGGTGATTTTATCACCTACTAGTCATTTACCCAAGACCAATACCACAGAAGCATGATTAGTCCCCTCCAGGAGATCTAAGGAGATCCCTCCATTTCAGTTCCCTATGGCACAGCCCTGTGGGTTCCCAGTAAGGCCATTGAATTAGGCCCTCACTCCTCTGCTCCCCCCTGCCTGCTGCAGACAGAGTGGCATCTCCCAGTATGTTGCCTTGTGTTTGCGGAAGGGACTCCCAGTCGCCGCTGGGTGGAGCCCTGCTGCAGGTGTCTGTGGGGTTGCTGCTGGGGGGGAGGGAGGCAGCATGACAGGGAAAGAACCGCTGCTGGGGACCCTGAAAGGTGAGTGGCTGGAGGTGGGAGGAGATGAGGTTGCATGGTTGGAGGGATTTTACAAGGGCTGGCTGAGAGGAGGGGTGTGACCGATGCTGCTGCGAGTAGGGCAGGTGCTGGATAGTCAGAGGGCTTGGGGGAGACTCCAGAGCCTCGCTGACCTCATGTTTGGCTAAGTGAGGATTCCCCAGGCTGGGGCACAGCCCAGGACATGTGTCTTGCAGCGGATCTGAGTGCAAGTGTGGCGCGTACAGGGTTCCTAGTAAGGTTGTCATCTGCTGCCCTGGTCTGGCTAAAGCAAAATGCAGGACAATGTAGCACTTTAAAGACTAACAAGATGGTTTATAAGATGATGAGCTTTCGTGGGCCAGACCCACTTCCTCAGATCAAATAGTGGAAGAAAATAGTCACAACCATATATACCAAAGGATACAATTAAAAAAAATGAACAAATATGAAAAGGACAAATCACATTGCAGAACAGGAGGGGGATGCGGGGGGAGGAAGGAAGGTAAGTGTCTGTGAATTGATGATATTAGAGGTAGGGAGAGTGGGATGTTTGTGAGTAATGGTATTAGAGGTGATAATTGGGGAAACTATCTTGGTAATGGGTGAGATAGTTCAAATGTTTGTTGAGTCCTTTTTGGAAAGTGTCGAATTTTAACATGAATGACAGTTCAGAGGATTCCCTTTCAAGTGCAGATGTAAAAGGTCTTTGTAGCAGAATGCAGGTGGTTAAGTCATTGAGAGAGTGTCCTTTCTGGTTAAAATGGCAAGAAACTGGTCTGGCTAGTCTTTTTGTGGGGACGTTGGCCCTAAGGACAATGACCAGGGTCACTAACAAAGTCCTGAAATTAATCTCTGGGCCCAAGGTGGGTGATTCAGTGAGATAACACCAATGCTTTGTGATGTAAGCATCCTGATGTTGTATTGAGATGCCATGGTGAGGGCATTTACAGAAAACCAGAAGGAATGGGGATGAGATTGTTCTGCACAGAGTAACCTTATTTGGGAACAGTACAGACACAGCATGATCAGCCCTGGGGAGAGTTTACCTTTCCTTGAAGTCTTGAGTGACCCCAATGTGACTGAATGAAGAGGCGGCATTAATATGCTCTGGTAGGAGCAGCTTGCAGCCCAGAAGATGGTTTGACCACCAGAGAATATGTGAGGGAAGTAATAAAATGTGAGCAAGGGAAGATCCTGGTACACACCCTATTGCCCATCTCCTCTGCACACACACAGCTGCCAGAATACCTCCTTCATGCCTTAGAACACTCTGTGTGCATTCCCTGGAAGAATGTCTATCTGCAAGGGCCTTAGACTCACTTGTCCTCATGGATTTTGAGCTGCCATCTGCAAAGCTGTCTCTAGATGAACAAATGCTGCTAAAACAACTGTACAGAATCTGCCATGGAGTCACCAGCCTAGCTAAAGAAAAGTCCTGCCTCTTCCTTCAGCCAGGCTGTAATAGACCTCAGTCACTTTTATTCTGGGTTGTCATCCTTTCCAGGGAGAATCCAGTTTCTCCTCCAAGGGAGGGTGGAGCCGCCATGCATTCTTTCTTTACAACCTTCTCCCCCCATCTCCCCCCACCTTTCCCTTTCCTGGAAACCAGCCATCCCTTCATATGCATATTTTGATACTATCTTTGGTATCTATAAAAAGCTTGTGCCTTTTATCTCTTTTGGGGACACATTTTTTCTGGTGACTGGTCCCTCCACATTTTTTTTATTTTGAGGATGAGTTAGATGAGGGAACCCTGGATTCACTACTTTAATGTGGGTAGGGATGTAAGAGTGGAGTTGTTTAAAGAGGTAACCGTTAAGCTCATGCTTATTGGTTACCCAAACAGCTACATACAGCTCCTGGTCTGGCTCCTAGGAAGCTGTCTTCCACCCCACACTGCTCCTCTGATACAGTCAGCTCCTGGAGAGCCGCTGTGCGTGTAACCGCTGTGCGTGTAATCGCTGAAATTTTCCACAGTTAATCAATTACACACATTATAACATCCCTACACCTTGGATACCTAGTAAAATGAAAGCTGTGTTGCAAATTTCTGTGTAGGGCTCAGACCTGTAAGATTAAAGGGCAAAGCAGGTAGCCCAGAGAAAACGAATCAATATTTACAGAAGCCAGCTATTGTATGCTGATATCGGCAGGTGGTTTGGCTTCAGAGAGTTTAATGCTGAGATGGTTTCTCACTGTGAGTCACTTTCCTTTCTTGGGCAATTGGGAGTGTCTCCGGATGCCTGTTCAGGAGTCAAACAAGCTGGCAGGAGGATTCTTAGATTCCTAGAAGAGTAGGACTGAAAGGGACCTCAAGAGATCATGTAGTCCAGTCCCCTGCACTCAAGGCAGAACTACGTGATAACTAGGCCATCCCTGACAGGTGTTTGTCTAACCTGTTCTTAAAAGCCTCTAATGATGGAGATTCTACAGCCTCCCTAGGCAATTTGTTCCAGTGCTAAACTACCCTGACAGGAAGTTTTTAACTACTGTCCAACCTTGCAGCAGTTTAAGCCCATTGTTTCTTGCCTATCTTCTGAGGTTAATGAGAACAGTTTTTCTCCCGTATGCTTTAACAACCTTTTATATACTTAAAAACTGTTGTCATTTCCCCTTTTGGTCTGCTCTTCTCCAGACTAAACAAACCCATTTTTTCCCCCTCATACAAGTCATGTTTTCTGAATATTTTTTGTTGCTTTTCTCTGGATTTTCTCCAAATCTTTCCCAAACTGGGGCACCCAGAATTGGACAGAATATTGCAGTTGAGACCTTAACAGCATGAAGTAGAGAAGAATTCTTGTCTTGTTTACAACAGTCCTGCTAATACATCCCAGAGTGACATTTACTTTTTTTCCTGCAACAGTGTTACACTGTTGACTCAAATATAGCTTGTGATTCACTATAACCCCAAGATCTCTTTCCACAGTACTGCTTTCAAGGCAGTCATTTCCCATTTTGTATGAGTGCAGTTGATCCTAAAAGTAGAGTACTTTGCATTTGACCCACCAATAGTACCAGTAGATTGTATTTCCCTAGTTTAAGAGAAGGTCATGCAAGACCATATCAAAAGCTTTATTAAAGTCAAGACATACCACATCTACCACTTCCCTGCTATCCACAAGACTTATTACTCTGTCAAAGAAAGCTATAAGGTTCATTTGATACAATTTGTTCTTGAAAAATCCAACACTCCTCCCCTTTTTCCCCTATCCTTCCTTCCCTTCTATATCAATATTCCAGTCATTATCCCACCAATCTGCGATACCAGCTATCTCATAGTTGTGTTTATTCATTATCATTTCCAGTTTTTCCTGTTTATTCCTTGTACTTCTCATATTAGTATACACAGATCTGACACTGCTTTTATTTCCGCTCTATGTTCCCTCTTGCCTCTCCCTCATCCCTGCTATAGTGGTCCATGATTCTTCCAGATTTTGACCTGTCTCTCTCTCTCTCTTTTTTTAAACTTGAGGGCTTCTGTCTCTTGCTCCCATTGAACTGAGCTGAAGGCCCTCCTCTCTAGGTTAGCCAGTCTGTATCCAAAAATACATTTCCCCTTCTTCAATAGGTAGATGATACCTCTGCTCAGCAGTCCTTCCCAGAACAGTATTCCTTGGTGAAGGAAATAGAAACCCTCCTGGCATAATGATTCTTCATTGCTGTGGTGGGTTGGTTGTAGCAGGGCACTGTCTAACCAGCACTCAGTGTCCTCCCTGTGACAGAGCCACCTCCTCCTCCTGAAGGGGTATAACAGCGTCCTCTGTAGCTGGATAGCCTTGGACGTCACCATATGAATTAGGGATGTTAAATATCGATTAATTGGATAATCAAGTAACCTCATAATTCTTATTGGGTAGTTGACTATTCTGTAGTCCCCGGGGGCAGGCCCAGCAGCCAGTGCACTCCAGCCTTGCTCTCAAGGAGCCCCCTGCCCCTCTGTGCTGCTGCCTCTGCGGCGCCCCCGGGGGGCAGGTGGGAGCTGATCCATGAAGGAGCCAGTTGGACTGGCTGCCTATTGCCCTGTGGACTGGCTGCCTGTTGCCCTGTGCTTCTGTCTCTGACAAAGAGACAACAGCCCCTGTCTCAAGGGGGGTTTGAGCTCCCAAACCCGGTGTGAGCTGGAACTGAGCCAAGCTGCCTGCCCCTGCCCACCCGGGTCCAAATACGCTTTAAATGCAGAGTCCCAGTAGGGATAGGTCCCGGACCCAGCGTGAGCCAGGATTGAGCTGAGCTGCTGGCCAGCCTGCTAAAAAATTTACTGGCGGGGAGAGGGAGGGAAATTCCAGATGTGAATTTTCACTACATGCATCTGACAAAGTGGGTCTTTGCCCACGAAAGCTTATGCTATCTACATCTGTTAGTCTATAAGGTGCCATAGGACTCCTCATCGCTTATCCCTAATATGAATACTCTCGATGAATTTCTAATGTGCATGGAGGCTTCTCAGCCTAGCCACCTCCTCCTGTAGTTCTCCTACTTGCTTCCAGAGAGATTCCACCACCAGGCACCTTTCATGCTGGCCGGTCTCCCCAGCCTGTCTTTCCATGAGTGGGGAAATCCAGGTCAGAGTCTCTACAAATTCGTAGTTAGGTTCTCTTGTCGGGACACAGGAGCAGATAGAGGAGACAGGAGCAGTGTTAGCACTGGCGATGAGGCCTGTCCTAACCCTAGCAATTATATTATGACTCCCTTTCAAATTCCCCAGTTTGCTGCCCCCATTCGCTAGCTCACTATTATTTATACACCACTAGCGATGCGCTCAGGGCTTTGCAGAACCAGCGCAAAAGTGGGTCTGAGCACCTGACAGTGAAGACTGATTTGGGAGAGTATGGAGCAGATGGGTTACAACATGAGAAAGGAGGTGCTTCTGCCACAGCTGGGGTGACTGCTGCTGCTGAGCAGTCTGTGTAAGGAGACAAGGTCCTTAGTCCTCCTGATTTGCTCTCTCTGGTAGAAGTGCAGGCTCAGGTCCAGAAGTGAGGCTCGCTGTCAGGCTCTAGTTCTGTTGGCACCAGCTGGTTTCTTGTGCTGTACTAGGAAGTAAGAGAAGGCTGCTGGCTTTGGAGAAAGTGGCGGGAGCCGAGAGAGAGAGAAGAAAGTGAAACCAATCTTCTGCAGGGCAGCTCGTCCTGTCTCCGGCAGTGATCTGTGATTCCCCTGTTCCCTGGGACTTGTTCTAAGCCACTTTCTTTTGTATGTTGTGCTCCAGCTCCCCAGATGCTAGCAGGGTTTACCCATCATCAGCAGTGAGGGAGCTGATAGAAAGGGAACAACAGCAGTTTCCAAGCTGCTGAAACCCCCATCTTCCTCATGAGTAGAAGGGAAGGGTGCTGGCTTTTGTACCCAGTCCAGTCAGGCATCAAGCACTCCCAAAAGTCTCTGACCATCAAGGAGGGTTGAGAGTGCTTGACACATTTCAGTCTTGGATCTTCTGTGCATGCTTCAAATGAAAGACTGTGTGAACGCTTCACCTCATCCATGCACTTTACAGACACTACCTAATCCTCCCTGCCTCCCTCCGGAGTGGTGGAGCAGTGCTGTCCTCCCTTGTCTAGGTAGAGAAACTCAGCCCCAGGGGTTGTGACTTGCTTTTGGCAGGGCTGGCGTTAGAACTCGGGCAGGCCTGATGTCCAGGCCTGTGTTCTTTCCGTAGACCGCGGTGCCTGTCGTGAGCCAGGCCTGAAGCAGGAAGTGAGTTTGTTTTCCTCCTGGTGTTTAACATTGATCTTATATCTCTGGGGGCTGAGCACATGATTTGCCCAAGTGACTTGAGTTTGGTCCATTCGGGGTCCTGCCTGCCCCATGGAACAGCCCAATGGTAACTGACTGCAGGAGAGTTATTCCGTGAGCTGTTGCTTTACGTCTGGCTAGAACAGCAGCTTGTCCAGTCCCATGAGATGATGTGAACAGGCACCCTTCACGTTCTGCTTGCCTCCCACCTTCTCACAGCGTGCATCCTCGGCATCAAGGAGGGGAGCGGCCCATGCACTGACGCTTTCCCACACCTAGCCCCCTTCTGCGAGATCCTGGAAACGATCCTTCGAAAAGGAATTCAACGTGAGTGATCGCTTCTGCTCTATGCGTGCCGCAGGGTGGGGGCAGGCCTGGGAGGGGGGAAATGGCACAGACTAGTGCATGCTAGGGGTGTAAGAGAGTAACCATTTAAATGGTTAACCAATAAACATCAGCCTTTCAGTGTCCATTATGATTACACACCAGCTCCTGGCCTTGCTTCCAGGGAGATGGCTGCCCCGTGCTTTTTACTGCAGAGCCCACAGTGCAGCTGGCTCCTCAGGAGCAGGGCTGGCAGACATGAGTCAGTACATGCTGGGAGTCAGCTTATCCTCTATGCCGGCTCCCTGC